CGCTGTGCTGTCCGCTGATGAGGGTGTTTTGAGGATGTTTGAGTAGATCATTAAGGAGGAAATAAATCCTTAATTCTCTCTCTTCTCCTCTCTTCTCCTCTCTTCCCTTGTCAAAGACAGCAGTTTGTGAGCAACATCTCTAATTCAAAATGCATCTTTAACACACACACACACACACAGTTTCACTCTTATAAGCTATACATGCACTCAAGAGCGTGTGACTATGACAGGAAATGAATATTTAAGCCGCAGGTGTATGGAGCCGCAGCCATTTCTTGAGTCTTCTTGAGCGCATCATTTATTTACCAGTTTGAAGCTTCAAAGTGGGTTTAAATATCATAATTTCCTCTGTGTGTTCTTTTATAATCAGGCACATCATCTCCACTGCTCCCTTCATTCAACTTCAGCCTCCATCTGCCTTGCTCGCAGGTGCTGTGGGTTCTCAATGCTGTCGGTTTCTGTTTTTCTCTTGTCAGGGGTCGCAGGTCAGGGTGCGCTCTTAAATCCTCAATACGAGTCTGACGTCTACTCCCAAACAAACCCAGGAGAGGGATGAGTTGTCAGAAGAGGGGCTGTCTTTGACATGCATGTATGCAAAGTAGGAGGCGATGTGTGTGTGTGTGTGTGTGTGTGTGTGTGTGTGTGTGTGTGTGTGTGTGTGTGTGTGTGTGCGTGTGAGAGAGAGCCAAAATCCTGATAGAGTTTCCTTACCTGGACAGGATGTGTAACTTTGGCTCCCAGTGATTAGGCTTTGATGTTACCTTGAGTGATAGATGAGAGAGGAGGAGGAGGAAGGTTTGGAGGAGAGGAAAGGTGATGCTGCTGACACAGTAGTTTGAGACAACTTTCTTCTCCATACTTTTTTTCCTCCTTTTCTGTAAGTCTTTGCCACTTTTCTATCTGCACTCCAAAAACTCGGCACGAAAAACAACCGCCTCGCTTAAAAGATGGGTGTAGAGGATGAACCAAAAATGGGGGGCAGCGGGGTGGCAGCCGAAGGGAAGGGGGTTTGAACAGAAGCATAAAACGGGGTAGTGTCAGTTTTTATTCTAATGCCTGAAGGAAGCAGTTGGAGGTCACTGCAGCACTCACCAGTGTGGGTTAACACACACCCCACCCACCGTAATCAACTCAGATTGATGCCACATACTGTAAACTCAGCTATGTGACACCAGCAGCCGGAGCAGAAATAAGCAGATCCTCTCACTGACACACACACACACACACACGCTCAAATGGATCATCCTCCACATGCACACAAAACACATTAACCAGTATGAATGGATGGTACCATTTTCTTCTCTCCATAAATAACAGTCCACACATGAATGTGTGCTGTTTGTCAGGGCTTTCGGGTCCATTTGTGTTCAAATAGCTTGTGTCCCTGGTAACAGAGGCAGCTAGTTACTTGATTTCATCTTAGTGATTGATAGTGAGAATGACCAGTATAGTCTGGCACATACACAAGTTATTCCTCCTCTACTGTAGGAGGAATAATGTACTCTGCTAGCACAAAGCATACAGAGAATCTAAACAGAAATCACCTCAGTGAATCCCGATCCCTTGTTAGAGATAAGTATAATTAGTTATCCACAGTAGTCTTGTTTTTTTTTTTGTGCAGCTTTGTACATGTGTGCTTGTATCACAACATTAATCTTGTGTCTTCAAAGGATGCTATTACCTGAGAGCACTAGGACAGATGAAGAGCTAATTCCAAAATTAGATTTCTGTCTTTAGAGAAAATTGACTCCCTCTATTATAAAAAATGATTGCGCTCGCGAAGGCAAAAGCACTTGATTCATATGTAGATGTTCTGTAATGGATGAAATGTTTGTTCTAAAAACTGATGAGTTTTGATGTCTTCATTTCATCTAAACTAATATACTGTACATAGCCTTACATTAATAGAAGCACTCAGTAAGAGGTGGAAGGTGTAAATCCTCTTGTCCTTCCATTACAATGCCTCTTTTTTTTATTCTCATTCCATCTTCATTACCTCTTGACACGCACACTGTGTATTTCATAAGCTGGGTTATTCAACCCTGATGTTTGTTCCATCAGTGCAAATGAAACCTTGGCTTCTATAACTTTGCTTTTACAGTTACTGTATCCTGCGGGGGCAATTTAAAGTGGCATCACTCCTGCTGCACTGCTTAAAGAGGAAAGACACACTCCCTTTATCATGGTCCTCTGCACACACACAACAACCAAATAAATAATGATATACATCTCGCACAAATCAAATTGCTTCCCTTATACAAATAATCACCTGAAATGGTCACATAGCGACAGCTTCCTCCTAGAGATGAGAGGAGTAATTTGATGAGCCTTATGAACCTTTGAGTAGCAGTATTGATGTCATCTATATTCATGCTGGCTTATTTCAGATACATTCAGTGGATCAGGAAATGTCATTGTATTTCATTAGCATTTATACATGAGTGAACTATGAGCGTACCTTGGCCACAAACACAGCTTTTCCCTTACAAGGGGCTACAGTGCCCCCAAGTGGTTTTTAGATTAATTTCATCCTCCTGATGAGATTGTCTAACTGTTGCTGGTCGTCCAGAAGTTTCAGGTCACCAGAGCAAGAGTATTAGTGGATATTCTGAATGTCAGAATTAAGAAATGGGGACCACTAACAACTAGAACCTATACTTTAATGGGATATATCTAAAGTGGTGTCGCTTTGAAGATGTATATCCAAGAGCCAAAGCCTTATAGGTTAAGGTTAGGGGAAGCTCAAGGTTAGCAGAAAGCTCACAGCCATGGTGACGGGATGCAGCACAGGGGGATATACCCACAGGATGTACTGCTTATATATCCAGAGTAGTTGTACATCCATGAGCACATTTTCCATCGTTACTACCCGTTTGTTTCAAGCAATCCTACTTAATACAACACAATAGGATAGGATTTCTGCTGTAATTATGAATGTTTAATGGGGAGAAAAGGGGCTCTGGGACTTTGAAACTGAAATGCTACCAGTAATGGGAAGATATTTATCTCCAATTATTGTTTTAATGGCAAAGGGTCATCTTGATGTTAATTAATCACAACATATCACTCCGGCTTCATCTGCGGTGACACTTTAATTTCAGCAGTTATTATCACCACCACAGCGTACACTATGCTGTGTCAAGTAATAGCTCTGTAATGACCCTCACTAACTGCAGCTCACATGTCTGGCATTTAATAAAGGAGCTGGATGTCGTCGAAGTCCAGAATGTAAATTATCTGTTTGTATCAGGAGAGACATATGCTCCTCTCAACTATCCCATTGTCTATAATGTGTTCAACATGCCACCATACATACTGCAGCCATCAGGCACAATTTCAGAGGTATGCATTTGAATCTTTCATCTTCTCCAGACTACTTTTGTAAAAAGCTGTCATCAGGTAAGTAGGTATGTGAAAGACATAGATAATGCATAATGAGGGGTGAATGAAAGTGAGATAAAATTAAAGGAAAACATTTTCGAGGAAAGGGAATTTGTGAGAAAAGAGGTGTGGGAAGGTCATACGGTTGAAAGTCTTTTCAACTCAGGTATCATTTCAATTATATGATCTATCTGTCTGTTTGTCTGTCTGTCTGTCTGTCTGTCTGTCTATCAATCTATCTGTGTATTTATCTATCCATATTTTATTTAGCCTCTTTCTCTAAATAAAGGTTTATGTGAATAAGTGATGAATACTCAAACTCAGCTGTCAACAAGTCACTAACTCCCATGCATATGTCTTAAGCTGACTTCACTGTGTGCACTATAGACTCTTGTGACAGCCAAAAGAGCAGGAAATGTTGTTTAAACAAACTAATAACATTAATGATGGCTCTGTTGTATTCAAGTGTCCCAGTAAGCCATGACAGTGTGAACAACCAGAGCAAAAGCAAACCAAAGCAACTAAATTACGACCAATTTATACCTGTACTCCTGTGGCCTGTGGAAGGTCTAGTAATGCCATATTCAAATACTTGGGTCAAGATTTAGGGTGGAGGTGGTTTTATTGATATTTATGACAGATCTCAACAGTCATTTAGTTGAAAGTGTCACTTTCACTGCAAAGTTGCCACTTCCCTGGAGATCTCTGTCATAGTTATTTCATGTTAGACAAGGGGACATGCTGTTTAGACTCTCATGTGATACACTGAGATTGCATTATTGGAAACTGTCAGATTGACTGTGTCATTAATAATACCCTTGACCTTGAGTCGAATAGTTAAGCTCTGAAGGCTTAGAAAAATATAGTTAAGTGTTTTTACGCTGTCACAGGCTCTTATGTCAGTATTATGAGTTGTCACAATGATTGCAATAGCTCGGACCTAAATGCAGACTCAGGACTGAGCTTATAGGTTAAAGGCAATTTCAGTGGTCAGGCTTATGTTGAGCTGAAAATGATCAGGCAAAGAAACTCAAAAAGAACCGTTTCATTATTGTAATCTCAAACAAATAACTACTTAACATCTTTAAGATATTAAAGCTTTATAAAGATATACCAATTTCCCTTTGGGGATTAATAAAGTCTATCTATCTATCTATCTATCTATCTATCTATCTATCTATCTATCTATCTATCTATCTATCTATCTATCTATCTATAAAGGCTGATTGCATTATCCAGTGGTTCAAGTTTATTTTGCATTAAGTAATGGGGTGCATTTGTATTTACATTTATAAATGAAACCAAATAATGAACATAAGCATAAAGATACAATAGTTGTATATGTACTATAGCCTTTGGAAAACACACCTAATAAACAGCAGATTTCCCTAATTAGTCTCCAATTTGATTTACACTTTCACATCAATTAATGTCACCATTAATTATTACATTTCATAATTTTACACAACTTTCTGCTTGTGTTTTGTATGTATTAATCATTTATGAATGGATGCATGTAACTGTTGTAATTGTTGTCTACATGCCTGATGCGTCATGTGTACCAGTTTTGTCCAGTGGGGGCAGTATTGTCCCGGTGACGCACGTACTCAGCTTCAAATTGTGAAGAAGAAGAGGCTCAATACCTGACAGAAAATGGCTGACTGAGTGTGGGAATAATTACGTTTGGCTCCAAGCACAGTTTTAAGGCGTCCCGAGTCCTGAGCATGCACTGTTGCATTTAGCAGAGAAACACTATGTTTAAAAAGGCGAAACGAGCTAACTTCCGACGGAGGAATGAGTCCGACGAGGAGGAACAGGAGGAGGGCAGACAGCCGCCGCTGCAGCCGACATCGTTTGGGCCTGTCGTGGAGGAAATCCCGTTTATGGAGACCTCCAATAACAGCGTTACCGGAGCGCCTAGCTGTACGGACAGCTATCATAGCAACGGCTTTCAGGCTAACGTTAACAGTATAAGAGCTGTCAAGAAAGAAAAGAAAGTCAAAGAAATACCCACTGTGGTGCCCGTACCCACAAAAGCCAGCTTGTTGAGTTTCGACGATGAAGAAGGTAACTTGGTCCACCGATGCTAACTCAGCTAGCCGGTAGCTCGCTAGCTGAAAACGTGTTGTCCTGACAGGTTTTAAATATTACTGTTTGTTTCTGCGCATGATGTGGGGATCTTTCTTTCTTCATAATTTTATAAACCATTATTTAAATTAGTAATTTCTGTGACCCCCCAGCTCAACCTGTTAACGATGTGCACGGTTAACTTGACTCAGTTTCTCCCCTGACTTTGTAAACAGAAGGCTCGGAGGTGTTCAGAGTGAAGAAATCCAATCACAGCAAGAAGATTGTCAAACAGCTGAAGAAGGAATACAAGGAGGATCTGGAGAAGTCTGGATCTGTCAGATCGGACTGCAGATCAGGTGTGATAACCCACTGTCCGTTACATACATTATCTGTCGTCTCTGCCTTCACATGAGCAGTATAAGGAATACCTTAACCTACCTAGCTGACTTGCTTTATCACCAAACACGAGACTTCATTTAGAGATAATAAAACCTTAAACTGCGACAGTAGACCATTGCTATGAAAATCCCTTTGAGAGTAAAATATGTATTTGTACCACAAGATGGGGTTAGATCTCTGAGGAAAGGGGTGGTCTTCATTTTAAATATGCATTCAAGTTGATGCCCCTTTAGGTAGAAGTTTGTCTTTGCATTCTCATATTGCATAACCATCTATATGGTAAGTGGTATATCAGAATTATTAGTCAGAATTTGTCTCCTAAATTAAATCTAATTTATAAGATTATTTTCTGAGATTAAAGACATTTTAATCTTATCTACAGATATAATAATGAAATAGTTAGAAATCAGTTGTCCCACCTAAAATTACATATATACCAATGCTATCAGGGTATCTGAGTGCTTTCAGAGACTGCCCAGTAGCGGGAAGCATTATATCTGTCACCCCGTAGCATTAGCTAAAGGGCTATGATGTAAATGTAATGGAAGTTTGTTAGATCTGTTATCTTTGTGGCTCATCTTTTTTTCCACATCCTTTTTTCCCTAGATGCTCTACTTCAGCCTGTGGTTGCCATCAAAGAGGAAGTTACTAGCAGAGCGGGTAGTGAACAGGGGGAGGAAGAAATGGAGGTGGACAGTGCTGATGAGCAGGAGGAAGAGGCAAAAAATCAAGGTGGTCAGACACATAGTCAAGTCTCCAAGAGCAACGACACTGGAGCAACGTTCAACACGCTTTCCTCCCTAGGCAGCCTGAGACCAGGTAATATACACAAACCCACACTGAAATTGAAATGCTTGTTCAATATTTTGACTATCATCACTGGCACAACCAGTATAACTGCTATATGAGCACCATTGTAAAGAATGGGCTAACTCTTGGTCTTGTTTACATAACAAAATTCTGCCACTAACCTTGGAATACATACCCTGAAAGTCTTTCTGGTATTTGTACACACAATTACACAAGTATTGGATCAAGAGCTGTTTCTCTTTTACTCTAGGGGAGATCCCTGATGCTGCATTCATCCATGCTGCCAGAAAGCGCCGGCAGCTGGCTAGAGAGCTTGGGGGTGATGCCCCTCTGGTAGAGACAGAGGCTCCCAAGAAACGTCTAGTCGGAGAAGATCAAGATGCCAGTGACGATGAAGACGAGGAAGAGAAAAGGATCCGCTTCAGCGGAGTCAAGAACAAAAGCCAGAGACAAAAGATAGCTGAGGAGATAGGTACCGTGAGAAAATGCTGAACTGACAAGTTTGTTGATTAAATACTGCTCTTTTCAATCAGTTGTCTCTAAGACATGAACATGTCCTTCCAATGTACAGGTATTGAGGGTAGTGATGACGAGGCACTGGACACAGGTCAGGATGAGGAGGTGAGCCGTTGGGAGCAGGAGCAGATTCGGAAAGGAATCAGCATACCCCAGGTAGGCTGCACTAAACCTCCAAACAGCTGTAAAATATTTTGCCTTCCTGTATGACTTCTGACAATGAATGGTGTGTGTTTTTCTCCAATTGTCTTATTGTTTCATCCTGTGATACAATTATTTTATTAAAGGCTGGATTGGATTTAGGTTTAACAGATTCCTATTAGTTCTAGTTCTGTAGTGGGTTGACTAAACAATTAGTAAATTGACAGAAAGTAATTCATTCATATCAATTTAATAATTTATCAAGCAAAAAATTTCTTTTACATCATTGTATACTCAATATCTTTTGGTTTTGGGGTGTTACTTGGACAACACAAGCAATTTGAGGATGTCACAGCTCCGGAAAGCTTTTTTGCTAAATTCTTGGCACTTTATAGACTAAATGAATCCAAAAAAATATCAGTAGATTAATTTCTAATGCAAAGTTGCAGCCCTAATTAACTGGTAGTGGACAGCAGCAGTACTTTTGGTCGTGGTGGTAAAACATTGTGTTTTCCTTGTTTCCAATGACTAGGTCCAAAGCAACCAGCCAGAGGACAACACTGTCTACTACCAGAACAGCTATGAGAGCCAGCCCTACGGCGCTTCCTACAGCATGCCATTCACCTACAGCACAGTGGCACCACAGACTGGCAAGCCGGCTGGCCGAGCAGACAATGGCTCTGTTCACTACGGGGTCCCTATTAGTGATCTGACTCCAGTATCCATTGATCTGGTAAAGAAACGCCTGCGAGATAGGTAGGTTCAGTGGAAGACTGCAGCAACGTCTAATGCCAATCTTCAGCTCAGCTGCTGCCATTTCTGTGTGCTGTGGTCCTGATCCAGCAAAGCTACCCACAGATCTAAGGGCCAGAGAAAGAATCTGGGGGTCTGGAGGGGGGGTTGCATTAGTCCCCCTAATTACAACTCCTGTTTGACCAGAAGTACATGATTGTAGCTTGCTGTCTCCTGTTAAAAAAATTTCATAAAGTCTCTGTGCGCGTTTGATGGGTGCACTAAAGCAGCTTTCTGCTTAGTGTATGTCAGTAATTAAGATTAGACTAGTTTGGTTTATCCTGTGCCCCATCTAATTCATCCTTACTGTCTTTCCCTGTATGTCACATGTCTGTAGGCTCAGCCAAATGCACGCAGGCAACAATGCAAACATCAAGCGATACAAACAGATCGAAGAAGACCTAGCTGCCTCTGAGAGCACCATACAGCAGCTGGAGGGCTCATCCAATGACAATGCAGATCAATATAAATTCTTGCAAGAGATGCGAGGGTATGTTGGAGACTTGCTTGAGTGTTTCAGTGAAAAGGTAAGGGAGAATTTATCTGCTGTCTGATTAGCTGTTTTCTGTTTTGTGTCTGTGTGATCTCTGGCCACTTAATGTGGATTTTAAAGGGATTTAATCCAATAAAGATTTTGTATTGTGAAATATTAAGTGAGAGTCATCAAAAAACCTATTTATATTGTTTTGATTTAGTCGTTCATTTAGATACTGTTATTGAGGCTAGATAACAGTGCTGACAAGCCAATGTGACTGTCACTTGGAGCATACTCCATTAATTTCCCAGTAGCTTCACAAGCCGCTCTCATTTTAGTGTGAAATATGACTTTGATCTGTTATCTCAGTGATTTACTTTTTAATATGTCTTTTGTATAGAAAGGAAATGTTCTCACTTTGCAATGAATCAGACTGTGTAATGTCTTCAGCTACTTGAATATAATTACCCTGTACTAGTCATTACTAAACAAAGTTATGATAAGATGAGTTTGAACCAAATATATTGGTGTATGCAAAGAGGACAAGTCCAGTTCGTTAAAACGAATGTAACGATGTCTCTGATGCAAGCTATGTTTTTGTACAGCTATATATAGCTACTTACTTAAACGCATGTCTAAACAGAATAATTGAGTCTCGATCCTGCAGCAGCAGAGCAGCAACTGTGTGGAACAGAGAGAGAACTGGCCTGCCAGCTGCCAACCAGTGTTTCCCCATCCACACTAATGTCTGTCTTAACCCTGTTAGGTGACTCTCAGTGCACAGAACATTGTGATGGAAACGGGACACTAACCAACCTTTGTCATTATGACTCAGTATGGAGTCCTTTTAATACAGCATGAACATTAAGACTGGAACTGTATATTGTCAACGTTGGGTAAAAATCTTTAACTCTTTATGATTTGAATGCATTGAGTTCACAAGGCATTTAACTATGCTTTTAACTTGGGTTGTCTATATATTCAGCTTAAACAATTGGCTGGGCATAAAATTGTTGTGTTCAAGCTTTCCTTCATGGAAAAATTACACTTAATAGACAAGTTTTCACCCAACACTAGTGATATTTTGGTTCCAGTATTATGTTGTCCGTCATGCTCCTCTTGTCCCTCCAGCAAGACATCCCTGTGACTCGGAGCCCCGCTTTTGTTTGGGTCAGAGGTCACAAAAGGCATCATATCTTTCAGGTGCCTGCTGTCCTGGAGCTGGAAGCTGCCATGCACCAGTTACTAAGGCAACGGGCCTCACGACTTGTCCAGAGAAGACAGGATGATATTAAAGATGAATCGTCGGAGTTTGCAAGCCTTTCAAGTCAGTCCATCTTGAAGGTTTTTATGATTTATTTGAACAGACCTCGTTAGTTCTCTGTGTGTCTGTGTGCGTGTGTGTTATGTTATCCATTATTTTCCCCCTCACGAGTGTGATTAAGGTTAATTGAGGTGTGATTTTGAGTGAGTGAGCATGTATGTACACGTGAAATGTTTTATTGGAGGAGCTCTTTCGGCTACTCTTAAATGGCCGAGTCTCACAGTCAGCTGGGTGGTTGTAACTCAGCTCAAGCAATGAGTCACTAAGTAAAGATAAAAATCTGTTAGTGACTTGTCACCTGTCACTTTCACTGTGACATATAGGAAGTTGCATCCAGGTAAGTGACTAGAAAATGAATGATACCAAAATTATTTGTAACAAATATAATGTGTCATTGTATCGTCTGTAGATTAGGTCAATACTTGTTCAGTCCTTCTGCCTATCTCCTGTCTAGCTCATCTAATTTATTCGGAAGCATTTTGTATTATTCTAAATTTGAGTACACTGTTGTGTCAGATAGTGCCCAGAATAAGAATGGGTTGTCTCAGCTTTTCATTACTGGTTCTAACATGTCTCCTGTCTCTTGCAGATAAAGCTGTCATGGCACCTAATCTAGACTCATTTGGTCGAGACCGCGCAGCATACCAAGAGAACAGTCGTCAGAGGAGGATAGCAGAAAGAGAAGCACGACGGTATGAAACTAATGTACTCAAAGACATGCTTCAAAGATTAAGGCTTAATTTTTGTGACATGTTTCTAGGCTAAACAGTTCTCTGTTGCCCCTGTAGGCTGTGTTTTTGTGCTTGCCTTAGACCATGAAATGCTAAAAAACACTTATTGCGCTTTTATTCATAAGAATACAGCCGTGTAGCTTGGTTTGTAAAGCATAGTTTTCTTTAGGCTGTAGTCTCTCCAGAGCTGAAAGTAAGATCCTTAGTTCTGACTTTGAGGGAGTGGGTTTATTACCAAGCTGGTTACAGTTTATCGCAGATTCTGTCCTTGGTTTTAATTGTCTTCGTGCTTTTGGGTTGGTGCAGAACTCGCCGGCGACAAGCTAGAGAGCAGAATGGAAAGAGGGCTGAGCATAAAGAAGGCTTATCGTCTGATGATGAGGAAACCTCTACTGACGTTACCAGCTTCAACATGGAGAGAGGTACATCATTAAATTGTTGGAAAACTTGCAGTATTGACCGTAATGAGGAGAACTGGTAAATGTGTTGATTTAAAGGTGATTTAACTCGGACGTTCTGCAGCTCATGCCTAACAAAAGCCTTCGTCTCATCCAGATCGTATCACCAGGGAATGTAAGAAAATATTTGAAGATGTGGTGGAGGACTTTCATTCTCTCGACTGCATCAAATCCCATTTTGAAGTCTGGAGAAGAGACTACGCAGATTGCTACAGAGATGCTTACATAGGCCTCTGTCTGCCCAAACTCTTTAATCCTTTAGTCCGTCTGCAGCTGATTACATGGAACCCTCTCGAGGTAAGGCGTGTGTGTGTTTTTAGTATAATGTTTGTTTGTTTTTTTTAATCAAATGGGGTGAATTCTGAAATCCTTTTCTTTTTGTTTTTTTCCTGTCCAGGGGCAGTGTGCGAACTTCGAGTACATGCTCTGGTTTGAGTCGCTTTTGTTTTACGGCTTTGAGGAGCACAGCACTTTGCAGAGAGGAGATGGAGATATCAGCTTGCTGCCTGCCATCGTGGAGAAGGTCATCCTCTCCAAACTGACAGGTAGAGAAACCCACACAGCTGCACCTAGCATACTAAGATTTGCTTGGCATAACAATGCAGTCCAGTGCAAAATATATCTTGTGCATTTTTTGTATCAGTGTTGGCAGAGCAAGTGTGGGACCCGCTCTCGAGCAGTCAGACGGCCAATCTGGTGGGCTTCATTCACAGACTAATGAAAGGTTACCCCACTGTGCTGCATGGGGACAATCGATACACACAGGTACTGTCCTACTTAAACATAATGTACTTTAACTGCGAATTAAGAGATTGCTTTGGCTCATCTGCTAGAAATGTCATCTTTAATTCCTTTATTTTCTTTCCTTCTATCAGGAGCTTTTGAAAACTATTGTCTTTAGGACCAGGCGGACTCTGGATGAAGATGTGTTCCTTCCACTCTACCCCAAAAAGTATGTTACCCCATTTTAAACATTGGTGGTAGTCTTCAATCTGCATGTTGAAAGTTGATATGTCATTAAGTGTGTTTTCTGCTTTTGTTTAGTGTTTTGGAGAACAAGAATAGCGGTCCCTACTTATTCTACCAGAGGCAGTTCTGGTCTTGTGTGAAGGTATGTACAAAAGTGGAGTCAAGATAGCATTGCTTTTAGAATAATTAATTAATTATACTTATGTTCAAATAAAGGTCATGCCACATATAGAAAAGAGGTGATTTTGTATGATTTTTAAAGGTTTATACTTGAAGAGAAAAGAGCACTTGAGGAACTGTTTGCCTCTTCTCTACAATACTACAGACTGAATGTGTGTGCTTGATATAGCTCGGCTACTAACCACTGGTGGTAACGTGCTGTTGTGGCAGCTAATAGAACTACTTGGATATTGATGTTAATGTGCCATTGTGTCACTGTCCTGGTCTGCATATGTGCACAGTCTGACTCCGTTGTTCCCTCTGTGCGTAGCTGCTGGGAAACATCCTGCAGTGGGAAGGTATCTTATCCAGTTCGTGTCTGCGGGATCTGGCTTTGGACAGCACTCTGAACAGATACATCCTCTCTGCACTGCAGACCACAGATACTGGGGAAGACAACGTTCCAAAGTGCCAGAAGGTAGGAGACGCACACAGCAGTTGTTTCATAGCTTTGTGTTTCATGTGAAAATAGATACAGCAGAGCTCAAATATTCAGAATGCTTGTTCAGATTAACTGAAATTATAAGTTTGTCAACAGATAACTTACTTCATTTATTTTAGTTAAACAGATAGTGAAGTAAAAACTATGGTTGGTTCTTATTATGCTATGTAACAAACAAGTTCATCTTGCCTGAGTAGATCTTGTGGATATTAAAGCCAAAGGCAAAGATGTTCCACACCCTTTGGAACAGAGTCAACTTAACATCTTCACGTTAATGAAGTCAATTTGTCATATTTCAGTCTATGTAGAAAGAGATGGGTTGTCTTTACAGTTGGTGTGTTATCCAAGAGTTGTGAAACGTGTACATCCTGGTACATTCTCATCATAAAATCTGACACAACCCCTTTTTCGCTCGGATATGGCAACCCATGTAAAATGAGAGCAAGTCATTGGAAAAGAAGGATGTCTTCACCTTGCATTTAGCTATTTACAACCATGTGAATACCTTTTTAGCTTTTGTTTAGTGATCTCACTCTTTTGACAGACAGCAACATCATTATGAGCAGGTACAATGGAAACGTGTTTTAATTGGACAGATTGGCCTCTTTTGTCTGCTATTTTGACTCCTGTTATTCCCTCAGCTTTGTCCCTGGCCAGAGACTGAATATGTAGGGTGTCTCGTGTTTAATTACATTTTGAAAAAGTGGCACAGATTGCATGAGGGCCATTTTTATCAGATGAAGCAGCCCACACTGTTGGCAGATTTTCAAGTATTTGATGCCTGATTCCATCAGTTTAGTTAACTGTCATTGGTTTGGTTTGCATGAAAGCCATTGAAACTTAAGAGGCAGTGTTTTTGGATTTGTCAAGATGCACACCATCAAAAGCACAAGGAAGGGAGCCGTTCAATGCAAACAAATCTTCCCAATAGGTTTATAGGTTTAGTCTGAGATAAGAGACAATTTTAATTTGTAATAAAACCTCTTTTTTTTTTTTTTTTTTATTTAGGATTCCAAATTATTCCAAAGACATCTTACAGTATTTAATAGTACATTGTGTGCCAGCTAATAATAAAGATTTCTTTAGCCACCTGAGCAGTGGAAACTACTATCTTATTAACTTTTTTTTTTTTTTTACTGCTAGCAGCCTTACCTCGACAAACATGCCTGCTTAGTTGGTCAACTCTTGTGATCACTAAACACGGTGGCACAGAGCTAGTGTTTAACACCACCCTGTCTCCTTTTTCAGGTGGTGGAGTGTTTACCCGTGCAGTGGTTCTCTGGGCTGAAGGGCCAGCAGACGTTGCCTCAGTTGGAGCCATTATGTCGCTACCTCACTCACCTGGCCAACTCAGTGCACCGCAGCAGTTTGGGAGCGTCTGACGTGGAACGACGTGCTGCCAAGTAAGAGGCTCTGCTAGGCTTTGCATATATAATTAAATATACAGTTTCTTCAGCTAAATTGGGGAACTCAAATTCAGTTTTAGCTCCATCAATGAGCTATGTTGTAATGCTGTGAGTTTTGTCCATACTGTTTCTAATATAATCCACATCTGCCAACAGGGACCAAGTCAAAGAGGTTGTGAAGATGTTGGGCCACTTGAACGCCCTGGACCACATTATCACCGTGGCAGCAGAGCATGGTATTAAAGACATTAAGCAATTTTTGGAAGCCAAGTCGTAAAGGAGGACAACAACACTTTTTTTTTTTTTTTTTTGGTGTGTGTTCAGCACATTTGGGGACATGGCATCACTAAGCTGGATTCATGGAGGAAAAAAAAAGTGTGTGTGAATAAAACTCAACAGTTGTTACATTTTACTGAAAATAGAAGGTAAAAAAAATCTTGGTGTAAATATTGTGTATAATGTATAGAAATGTGTGCTCATGCACCCATCAACGCAAGGCCGATGCTTAAACGAGGCCTTGTATTGTCAGCTCCAAACTACCACTCAAGTTATACTACATGCTGGCAATGTTTTAAACGCATAATTTATTAAGAGGAAACAATTGTTGACATGGGTCACTGGCATCTGTTTTGGAAAACATCTGATCCCTGAATTCACACTATATTCAACCTGGATATCTGTAAACCGCTAAACCATTACCTCTCTCACATGCTCCTTTTCTTCCGTATGTGCCAAAAGAACTTTCAGAACTGCACACTGGCAAAGACTGACGAGCAGCTTGCCTCCCAGTGCTCTGCGGGGCAGTTGATATGGTTGTTTTCCCCCACTTCATCCCACTGTACTCGCGTCACTCTATGGACTGGCCCCCGATGACCCTACCAGAGCTGAGAGCTTTGTATTCAGATTTGTAAAACTTTTTTTGTTTTAGAATTTTATTTGCCTGACAATAAAATATCCACTTGAATGCTGTCTTGTTGTATTTAAGGAGAAACTGAGGCTCAGGAGATGGTGTTGTTTCTCTAGAAAGGGTCAATCCAACATTATTTCCAATGTTCTTCAATTTAAGAATATTTTATGGTTTTTAATTACTCCTCCTAGGCTGAATCACTGTCACTGATTTTGAAGACTCTTTATTTTTTTGGACCAGAAAACGAGCTTGAATGGAGCAGCCATAAATTTTATTGCACAACTTTTAATGGTAATGAGCGGGCGGGGCCTTGCTTTATCCCCCTCCTCCTTCCATACGCGTTAAACACAGCAACCCGAAACTTCAAATTCCTGCTTACCACCTGTAAAGAGGGACTTATTACTTTGCGGACCACCGTGCACTGAAGAGCAGTTTTGTTTTAGCCAATTCCATTTTTAAACCTCTTCAGGAAATCGTCTCTATCTCTCGGATCGCTGCTTCATGCGCTCCCGCAGGGTAAACAAGGTAAAGCTCTACAACGCTGCGTTAGGATACGTAGCCACATGCATGCCAATGATTATGCAATGTTTAAATACTGACTTTGTTGTATCTGCACTCCGGGCTAGACGATTTTCGGGATACACACACACACACAAACACACACACACACACACACACACACACCAGCTAGAGCGCCGTGGAGGAACCCATTTCCGTGCGTAAAGTTGAATGGGTGCGTGGATACATGTAAGCAGAAGCAGCCACGCTGTAAACCACATGCTCCTTTCGCTCAGACCCCATTTTTAACTGCTTCATAGCTTATGTTTCCTGCAGCATGCATGTGGAGGAAATCTCACAACTCAAATGCACAACATCATTTTCGTGCACCTAAGCGCTCAACAGCTAAGGTTTTGGGTGATTTTCCATTTTAGGGGCTACTTAAAGCGGGTTGTCTGTAACTATGACAATGTAATATGAGAGGGGGGTTCCTGGAATAAGTAACGACTGTCAGGAGCCGCAGTGTAGCCTGCTCCAAAGACTGCTGATGATGATGTGAGGAAGGTGGCGACTGTCGTCTGGACTGGAGTGAAAGCAGCAAGTGACCACACAGTATACTTGCACAACAAGCAGCAATTTAGAAGTGGTGGAAAAAGTACTCACTCAGTAAAAGTAATAGTATCATAATGGGGGAAAAACTCTTCCTTCATCCATTTTAAAGCAAAAGCATGAAGAATTCCTCTCGTCATAATCTCTCTGACATTAGTACAGTAAACTGTTTTCACTGCTGGAAAAATAAGAGTGGAAAGGTCAGATCTACTGTAGTCATCTGTTTCAATAAAATACACAGTTAAAAAGAGCATTGTAAGTCATCATAGTGTTATACAGTGATCCAGTTTAATGGAGGTATGACTCAACCTCACCAGAGTTTGGCATTTGAAAAAGCAGCTGGAAATAGAGTATAAGTGACAGCCCATCAGCATTGTGTAAAAGCAGTTAAGAGTGTGAGAGATAAATAATTGCTAAATTAATATTCCCAAATTTAACCATATTTTAAGTGCGACTTAGTACAGGAGTTGACCTTTTAGATCTTAATGGCTACAGTTCAAACCAGTTCCAGTCAGTCTAACTTTAGCTGGTCTGAAAGTGGGTCACTAGTGGGCAAGCTGCTGGCTGCAGGCTGCAGGCTGAGCTGGAGCCTATACAAAACGCACTGATGGGTGTGTGCGGAAGCTTTTCAGGTTCTCTCGGTTCACTTGAGATTCTGGAGATGGCTTCAGCATGCTAGGGCTTCATATTTCCTCTCTGCTTCACCTACAGGCTGAATGTTTGGTTTCCTGTATGCTTAGTAATACCAGAAAAAAATCCTTGTATGCTCTCTAAACAGCGTGTAGCTTTTGTTTACACTCTCAGTTAGGATAAAACAAGTTGCAGTCGGTGGTGTTTGACTTTGACTTGTCAAAGCACTGTGCACAATGTAAGCGACTGTAGCTGTAGTAAATAGAATTCAGTGTGTACAAAACATAGATCAGGGGGCTCATTACTCGGTAATACACTCACAACGGTGCATTCATGCTTACGGAAGTGAAAAGCCGCTGTAATAGAAACAGACTGAGATTCCTAGAATGAACTTTGTAATCAACAAAGTTTTTTATTTGTCAAACATACAACTGATTTGCACTGCGTCCTTATGAACTATCAGAATAAAATATACACAATATCTGAATAAATAAATGTAAATATTATCTAATTTCTAACATGTAAATAATATGTAAGTATAGGTTCAACACTTTGAAAATCCGGGAACCCCAATCTTCTATTTGTCACATTTTCTTCTGGATATCAATTTCTGACCGTTAGTCGACCCAAATCATCAGCAAATAAGAGACTCCACTGTTAAACAGAGATATCAGTAAATGTTGCTTTCTTTGATACACTTGTAGCCTCCCACTTTGTTTGCTTAAAAAGTAAAGAGCCAACATTGTTTTCTCTTTATCCGAGAGCAGTATATGTACTGGTTCTTAACTATCTCTGTAAAACCGAAAAGAGGTAAAGGGTCAATCTTTTGTTCCCTAAAATATGCGATAATTCTTCTGGTCTGTGTCACGGAACAGGATTAGAGAAGGGTTGTTGTCTGTTCAGACAGATAGAGGGCACTTTGCTCATCATTTGTACCCTCGTCATGAGCTACAGGTTTAAGTTTACCGAAGCAACACATGCTAAATTAAGAATGTACTGTTCTTGTAATGCTCAAATATGCTTTGGAATAAAGCTTCTTTCTTTGACTGTATTTAGGAAACATTATCACCTGCAACATTTGTCGAACGCTATTTCCACAGCATTACCCATATTTGTTGCTTTTTTTTCATTCATGGAGGTGATGCAGCCTACGATTTCGCCATGTTCCTGACAGACTGACTGACAGGACATTGCTGAAATCCCTGCAAGACAAGTTCAAGGTGACCCAGTGGGGCACGCTTAAAACTGCGACCGTCACGGCAACACTTGGTTTCCATGTGCACACCAAAAGATAAAACCTGTTTAAGTTAGCTGGGTAAATTAAAACCACATCAGGACATTATTGCAAATATAACAAGTAATCAGATATCGGTAAAGTTGAGAGACGGCTCATAGGGGTTCATTGTGCTTTTAATACAGCGACTTCTACCTAGCAGGACGCAACAGATGGGAATTGTAGCAGTCAACACTCCACTGTTGCATGCCATTCTTTCTCCACAGTGATTCCATCTCCAGAAGCAATTTCTAGCTGCGCACCCATAGTGAGTGCATGCATGTGAGCAGTTGCTTAAATCATTCTCGCTGACTTTCCCCTCTTAAGCAGTGTAACTCTTGTCTCACCTGATCATAAAATAGCTTTACATGATCTTAACTATCAGGCATGTCAAGAAAAAATAGCAAAGAAAAAGAAATGTCAGCAGAGTAAAGAATAAAGTTAATGTGAGCCTTCCCAGTGTTGTACAGTGATTTACAGTGGAACTCAAATCTCCACTGACCTTCTGAGAAGTATTCCATCTACTATTTACTGTTTTTAGTTGACCCACATCATCAAATTACTTCTAAACAAAATCCTGATATTTTGTAATAGTGTTAAAAAAAGGACTCCTAGCCTTCCTAAATGTCAAGCAGTGTGTCATTCATGATCTACTTCGATTGGTTAAAAAGCATCACACCCCCTTTCCTGTTCATCCACTCCCTCCGCACTGACAGGCACTGCCTCCACTTTCTTCACGTCTCATCTGCCAAATCATTTTTAAACTGACAGTGGGTCGCGTCCATGTGTCTTTGTGTGCACAGATAAGATGGGACCTTGCTTTCTAAAGCATGAATTTTGGAAGGTTTTTGTATCTTTAATCCCTACACTTAATGGAAATGTAACTAATCATTTCATTATAGTGAATTGTGTATGAATGCATGCAATTGCATGCAGTGGTGGAATGAAGTTAAAGTATTTACTCTAGTGCAAATTCAAGGTACTTGTACTTGAGTAGTTCCGTTTTATGTAACTTTATACTTCCTCTCCACTATATCGAAGTACAAGCAAATATTGGATTAGCTGTGCTTTATGACAATGCATTGTCATAAAGCTGAAATAGGGCTTATTGTCTGTGCTCATGAAAAGGCTCGTTAGACCATGCATTGTTCTCACAGGACAACGACGCTACAAACATATGATGATCTTCTAGAATATGATGCATTGCAGTAGATTAAACTCTCTAACAGTATACATTTGTTAAAATTAGCGCAACCTGAAACATATACACCCAAAAGCATCAATAACAGGGCCCTTTTTTCATCAGTACTTTTAGTACATTTTGCTGATAATACATAGATACTTTGACTTGTAAGGTTTTGAATGCAGGGCCTATTTGTAGTGGAGTATTCTGACAGCGTGGTATTAATATTTTTTCTTTACACCAATGCAAAAGCTTGTCTGGATGCAGCCACAAGTAACCACCTCTTATTAGTGCTCACCAAGGTACATTTCTGTTACACAATTTTGCTGCTTTTGAAGATAAACTGGGTTACTGTGGCTTTTTACATCTATGCAACTGCAACTCTGCGATTATGTAAGCATTTACAGGCATTTAGAGTTATTACTGTAAAAATACATTTATTAAGGTTTTCACGGTCAACTAGCTACTGCTTGACCATGCTTGTGTGTGCATGTGTGCGTGTCTCTGTGCTGCTTGGAATAGCCAAGTCATGTGATTCTCTGGATTCTATTTCAGAACGGCGGCTGTCAAACGCTCTGCACTCTTCGCTGTAGCTTGAAGAATAGTTAACAAATACACCTTTTTAATCCCTCTATCAGTCAAACTTTCCGCTCAAATCCACAGGCGAAGCGTATCTGTGGGTGATTTCAAGTAAGTACTCCATGTATTTCTTATTCTGCCCTGCGGGAAGAGGATATTGTCATTTTGACATTTATCTGCGGCAGTGTTTCATCATGCCTCTTGTTGTTTTGTATTGTCAGATTTCCTCCGGTGGCATTGTTTGCTCTCATGAGTTTGTATTGACAAAAAAATTGGAATCTTGTG